GCTCCGCTCCGCTCCGCTCCGCCGTCATTGGCGGCACCGGCGGCGCTGGGGCGCGGGGCGGGGAGGGAGCGCTCCCCCGCAGAGCCGCTGCTGCTGCCGGGCCCGGCCATGTGCCGAGAGGAGGGTGGCTGCTGCCGGCTCGCTTTGCTCCGCACCGTGAGCTGGCGTCCGTCTTTTTAACCTTTTTTTTTCCGAAATTCTATTAATTTTTTTTTTTTTTTTTTTTTTTTTTTTTTTTTTTTTTTGCATTGATGCTCTCCGAGCTGGAGACTTCGGGAGACGCGGTTCTCACCTGAGAGATCCAGCACCATTCCCCCGTTTGAAGGTAAGCGGGAAGGGCAGGGCGGCGGAGCGGGGGGGAGAGGCTCGGCCGCTCGCAGACCGACCTCCTCCGGCTTTGCCTGGGCTCCTTCTCCCCGTCCTTCGCAACGGTGGGGTCTTTTGCCGTGCTTTTTCCCCCTTCGCTTCTCCCCCCCCTCCCTTTTCATCCCCCTCCCGGTGCATCCTAAACTGCCTTTCAGTACCGGTGGGATTGCTGCTCCGGGGGAACCGGCAGCTAACCCCCGCGTCCCGGGGGAATGCCTGCAAGGAGGAAAACAAGCAGAGGATAGCCCCGGCTGCGAGAGTTGGGGTTGGGAAGGGATTTGGAGGGGGGAGGCAGAGCGAATAGGGACGTGGAGAATTGCCCAGCATCCACACCCCGATAGCCTGTCTCAGGGGGGACTGGTCAAGTCCCACCGCCTTAGACCAGGATGAAAAATTCCAGGGTGCTCCAGGCTTGGTTTTCCCACGTCCTACAGCATCTTTAGTTTCAAAGCCATGCCTATGAAGGAGGTCATGAAAGCATCTCTCAGGGATGGGGTGGGGAAGCTGCCCCCATCCCGTGCCTTGCCTGGGTGTGTGGGTCGTGTCCTTCTCTGCCCCGGGGAGAGCTCGTCCTTCTTTGCACACTCAGCGTGGGAATGGAACGGGCCTCTCTCAGTCACCTGTCTGGGCATCTCACCTGGAGCCATGCGCCTAGGACAAAGGTTTGTTCCTATCTATCTCGTGTCCTGGCCCCGAAGGATGTAAGAAAGAACCCCCTACTCCATCCCGATGACTTTGTAGACACCATTCCGGCCCCAGGTTAGGCAGCAAACCAGCCCGCTAGCTCACACGCAACGGAGCAATGGTGATGGAGAGGAATCTGGAGTTGAATGGAAGGAAGGTGATAGCACAGTTATCTGTGGGTTGTTTTTGTCACTATTTGATTAATACAGCAGCCGTCTAGGTCTGCGCTCTCAGAAGTATGTGGACGTTGTTCAGTACGTTAAAGGTAGTCTGCAGGCTCCGGGAGGGGGGCTGTGGGAGGGAGAGAGAAATTCCCCAAGGGAAGATGGCTTTTCATTTCCCCGTATCGACTGGTTTCAGACAGGATTATTTATATTTGACATAACAGATCACCAAACTTGGAAGGTAGTGGGGGTGTGCTCATACTCATTAAGGTAGACAGTTTTCTGACAGAATAAATTAAAGGTAAGAGAAGACTGCACTTTGAGGTTCAACAGATTGTCTTCTAGCCTAAAACGAGCAGCGAAATCAGCATAAAAACCTTGATGGTAAAATCACGCGCTTCAGTCTTTCCTGATGGATGCCTGTCATTTTAGGAAACCTGGAGGATATCCCGATTATCCCAGTGCTCCTGGGTGATCTCATTTGAGCAAAAGTACCCAGTATGATGGGGTTTTTTAGTCATTGTATCTTGTCTTCACTGAGTAAGCATCTAAATTATAATGCTGTTAAGGGAAAACAGTTTATGTAAATTGTGCATGAACTATCCGCGCACCTGTATTTAGCTGCTTGCCCCACTGCGATGGCATGTGAATAACAGAAGGTTGTTTGCAACCTTCTATGGTTGGTTTTCATCTAGTCTGAAATGAGCAGAAAGATGCATTACGGCTGTCAGGTGGTGAAAAGAGGTTTCAAACACCTTAAAGACCAGGCAGCTGTAATTAGAAGTGTAACCTCCTTCCTCTGCGTGTCAGGATTTCTGTGCAGGATGATGACAGGACCTCTTAAGGAACGGTGCTGGTGCTCAGTAGATACAAAGAACTTAAACAAAATCCCCCGCAAAGCGACTGATGTTGATTTATCACCCCTCAGTACATTGGTTCTCACTTATGAAGGATGTGGGGATGTGAGGGGAAAGGAAGGAAACAGCACTTGTTCCATTCTGTTTTCTCATCAGTGAACACAGATTACAAACACAGGCAGTTCTTAAATACCTGTGCCTACCTGAGCACAAAAGAGTTGCAGAACGTTACCAGCGCTGTGGTTACTGGCTGTATCTGCACCGTGCTTCTCTTTGTTTTTTCCAGCAAAGCCTGGTAGATCGGTCTAGCTGTCACATCTCCTCCTGATCCTTTTCCATTGCAACCACAGCAGTCCCCAAACCCTCGCGTAGATGACACGAGAGTCTCACAGGCTTTGTGATCTAAGGAGAACATGTTCAGAAGTGGCTAAGTGACAGAGGACCCGCTCGCTGTCAGTAGCGTATTGCCCCAAGTCTTTCTAAAGGTATTCCCATGTGTAAAGCTGAAGACCACCTGCTGACCCTACAGCCGTACCTGAGCAACCCCCTTAGGATCCTTTAAAAGTTTTGCTGGACCCCCCGATTCAGAGAGATAAAGGTGCTTAATTCCCTTGGGCGTTTATGTGCAGCCCAGAGAGCTCAGCTGCATCCTCGCAGGCTGAAGTCGTCTGTGGCACTAACCTTTGGGCACATCAGGATAAGTCCTCGGTGCACAGCACGTGGGTCACGGAGGGGTTTTGCAGCTGCCCAAGCTGTTAGGTATTTATACAGCTTTTCATTTGGCTGCGCAGTGCCTAGCTGTATTCGTGCTGGTGGAAGAGATGGGGATAACTGGGTACCTTCTCACTCATTGTGTTCAGGTACCTGGCTGTCATGTTGTCATGGATATGGATAAGGACGTGGCCGGTGAAGAGGTGCTTGCTGCTAGCAGGGGTCTCGCAGCCACGGCTTGTGATGCCACTTAGAACCTTGAAGAAGAGCAGGGAAGGGATGGAGGAGATGTAGCAGGTGTTGGGCTTGAACTTGCAACTCGTTCCCATTCCAATTTACACTTCTTCCCCTGTCATTGCCTGTTATCTCCTTCTCTCCTCATGGTTTAATTTATTACAGTAGGCAGGATTGGTTCACCCTTTGTCTGAGAAAAAAGCATATATCCCAGCAGATTGGCAGAGGGATGACGAATATGTTGGATGATGGACTTTGATCCTCTTCAGACCTTCCAGCCATATTCAGATCACAGCTGAGGCCAGCTGGACAAGGCTGGGACCTCAGGAGCCTGTGAGCTCTGCAATCCCCATGAGAACAGCCCTGGGCAGAGGTCAACTGGAAAGGTTGGGGAACAAAATTAGAAGTCATAATAATAACATTTTGAAACATCCTTGGGCCCATTTTTCGCAGGAAAGCTTAATAACAGCCATGACCCATTAATAGCAGTTCAGGGCACCAGAGGGAGGACCTGGCTCCCGTGGACTGTGTGGTTCTCAAGGTGCCTGTGTCAGAGGCGGCGCGGAGGGGGCACAGGAACCGAGCTGATTTAGGCCAAAAATCACAACACGGATGATTTTGCCCCATTCTACGTGGCCAAGAGAACAGATTTCTCATTGGAGTCGGGGGGGCAGCAGTGTAAGGTGCAGCCTGGGACACTGCTGGGTGCTGGCATCAACCTTGGCTGGTGCTCCTCTTGGCAGGCCATGGAGTGGAGAGAAGAGATGAGTCAAGGGGTTGGGGGAGTTCTGTTTGCCCTCTCACTTCAGACAGAGTTTTATCTTGCTCGTTGAAACAAGCACCTGTGATGGTTCAGAGCTGGCGTTCAGCTTCATTCAGGATAATGGCACAAGACGGGCCAAGACGTCTTCCCCAAGTTTGCCTGGCCATGATGGAGCTCAGCCCCTCCTCGCTGTCTCCGATGCTTCTCTCCCCACCTCTTACCTCCAGGACAAAAACCACCCGCAGCGACACACCACCCAGCATGGCAGTTTGTGAGCTTGCCGAGCTTTGCTTGACCACGACGCTAATTTTCTCCCCAGCTGGAAAGCGCCTGCCGCTTGTACCTGCCCGTGAGCTACAGGCAGGGGGGCAGGTCCGGCGCGGGGCTGAGCTGAAGGTGCAGGCAGCTCTGCTGCCCTGGGAAACATCTCTCTGCTCCACAGCTTTTATCAAAGAGATGGAAACTTGTCACATTCTCTCTGCAACAATATCTGACATTATCCAAGCAATTTGCCCTCGGTGTGTTTCCAGAAATAGTTAGGCCTACAGTAGACACGGGTGACATCTGGATGCATTACTGTTGAGTTCAGAAACATTCAGTAAACAAGACAAGGATCTATTGTTTAAAGGTTTTTTCAAAAGACTCCTAGCGAGTTATCTGGCCGTGCAGTGGGGAAAACCTTAATGGCACTGTGATAATTGCCTTTTTCTGAAGGACATTTTAGAGGCGAGTTACCAGAAACCCAAAAGCAAGTCTCAGCCTGTCCCCGCCAGGCCAGGGACTTGATCCAACCTGAAAACGTGAGGAGTTTTTGTCTTTACTTCAATGCTGGTTGGATCAAGCCCAGGAAATGTGCATCTGGCTGTGGGAAGAGCAGGCTGGGGGGCACAGACGGGGAATGTAGGGGAGACCACCAGCAGTTCAACAGTAAAAAAAAAGCCTCAGCTCAGCATAATAGGGCAGCAGGATTCACATCAGCAGGGAGGGCGAGAGAAAGAGTCCTCCCCGAGGCTCTGAAAAGAAAATAAATGTCATTAGCCGTGTATAAAGCAACTGCCTCTGAGCACCTGAGACGAGGGGGGGAGGCTCTGCAGGGAGAGGGGGGGCTGGCGAGGTCTGCCAGCACTCGGAGGGCTCAGCGAGGCCGCTGTAAGAGACACTCTGCAGCCCACATCTTTATTCATCATGTCGCCGTTCAGTTAATAGCCTCCTTATAATAAAAAGAAAAAGAAGGGCGAGTGAATTTTTGGCAGGAGCAAAGTGCCAGCCATCATCCCCTTCCCTCACCCAGGTGACAAGGATGCCACTCGCGTGGGGCAGAAGGGAAGAGATGTGGCTTTGCTGCCACTCACACCAGCCTTACATCTGCACATGCTCCTGGCAGAAATCACTCCTGGCTTCTTACCTTGGCCCCAGGGCAAACAGAATTAATTCTCACCATTAATTTCATGCCCCTCGGAGAACCGTCACGGGCAGGAAATCACGTCGTGGACTCCCACATCTTTCTTTCTGTTTTACCACTGATTTTCTCTGAGGGGGAGGTGGG